TGCGTATTATTAAATTTTCCAGCTTCTTTAAAAAAAGCTCGTGATGATAATGATATTAATAAGTTATTAAAAATAAAAAACAATTTAATTAATGCTTCAAAAAAATAATTATTAATAATAAGAATATAGCAGACGAAAACGAATAATTAAAAAAAAAAAAAAATTCTCCAGGAATTAATTAAGTTGATAAACGTTGAAATAAAAATAAAATGATAATAATAATAATAATAATAATAATAATAATAATAATAATAATAATAATGATAATTAATAAAAAACAAAATGAATGGAATTGGGCATGCGTGAAAAAAAAGATGAAAATTGTTTTTCTTTTTTTTTTTTTTTGTTTTCATATTTCGTATTGGGCTTGGGCTTGTAGGGGGGGGGGTGTGCGCGGGGGGGTTTGCTTACACGGGTAATCAAGCCCTTTTTTTTTTTTTTAACTTGCTCCCTGCCCTGCTGAAACCAAAAATCCCCGTAAGGAAGTACGACGTAACCCAAAGAAAAAAAAATCTTTTGTCGCCATTTAAAAAAAAAAAAAAAAAAAAAAAAAACTAGTGACACGACAAAAACGTTTTACGTCACCGATTTGATCCCTTGTCTTGTTTTTTTTTTTTTTTTTTCACCACATCATCGATTATTTTTATTATTTAACGTTATTTGTTTTTTAAATATATAATTACAATAACAATACGAAATAAAAAAAAAAAATAAACGGAAGACAAAATAAAAACGTAATAGCGGGGAAGAAGTATAAGAAGTAGAAAAATAATAATAATAATAATAGTAAATAAATAAATAACTAAAATAACTAGTTTGAAAAGTAAAAAAAATGATAATAATAATAATAATAATAATATCAGGGGTTACGTTGCGTGATTTTTTTTTTTTTTTAATTCTTTTTCCACGTACGTCATTTATTATTTTCGTTTCATCGATAGAAAATGTCATTTTTTGTTTTATTCTATGTAATTTAAAAAAAATTATTTATAAGAATAAGTCAATAAGTCGATCGAATCTTCTAAACGAAAAATATCAAAAGAGAGAGAGAGGGAGGGAGGGGGAAGAAGAAGGTGGAAAAAATATGGAGGAAAAAGATGAGAATGAGTTTTTCCAACGTGTAATAATTTTTATCTTCTTTCACGATCGTTTTTTTTTTCTAATATTTTCGAAACAAACGTAAAAAAATTTTCCATCATGTGTATTACTTATCATTGTCTTCAATCATAATCACGATAATTCGTCTTAATGTTTGTTCGAGCTTTTTCAACACTTATAACATCAGGTTTCTACCGAATCCCCAATAGGAATAAATGCCTGAATATCAGTAATGCCAGGAATAGGATTAGTGAGATTCACAACCTTGTGAGCTGACTGTGCTCTATTACAATTATGAATCAGTTATCATATAACTTTTTTCTCAGAACTATTTCGATACTTAATTTTCCTACTATTTCCCTCTTTCATAATTTTCCATAATGCATTCCAAATTTAATATGTGTACAATATACATATACAGTTACAGTATACAAATTACAACACAGCATATAAATTACAATTTTGTACCTACAAACTTAAGTAATCTAAAGGCAGTAGAATTTTTCTAACCTTTAATGAAATTAAATGATAATTTTACACTAAACACATGACAAAATATGTTATAATGAAACAAAACTAACTTAAGAAAAGAGTTAAAGTAGTGTCCAATAAATAGATTCACACTTAAAGCAAGAGTACAGAGATTTTACATCCACCTGATACAATAAGTTAATTAAAAAAAAGTATTTTTATTAAGCCACCTCCATTTTTATTTGGTGTAACAGCTTAACTACTCATAATCAGCTCAAGAAAAGTCCAATTATTAAATAGAGTCCATTGTGTCTTTTCATAATTCCTTACATTCAAATCAACTAATATAAAGGTTACTAATGTTTCCTGATTCTGATACAGATTTAAAAGTAGCATTACACTATATGATAAACTATGTTGCATTAAAACAAACTAATTTAAGAAAAGAGTTAAAGTAGTGCCCAATCAATAGATTCACACTTAAAGCAAGAGTACAGAGATTTTACATCCACCTGATACACTGAACTAATTACAAGTACTTTCATTAAACTACCTTTATTATTTATATGCAGTGTGACAAAGATATTTAGCTCAACTACTTATAATCAGCTCAAGAGAAGTACAATTATTAAATAGAGTTCATTGTGTCTTTTCATAATTCTTTACACTTTAAAATCAATTAACATATAAGCTACTCATTTTTATTGATTTTGATACAGATTTACAGGGAGTATTACACTATTTCTATGGTAAACTATGTAGTAATGTGACAAACTAACTCAAGAAAAGGCTTAAAACAACCAACAATCAGTAAATTAACCCTTACAGATTAGAGTATAGAAATTTGCACACTGAGTTGAATATATCAAATCAATCATTATTAATAAATATTATTATTATTAAATTACTCCAATTCTTGTTTTTTATAATAAGATGAAAAAGATATTTAGTCAAACACCTTATAATGCTTTATAACCAAATAAATGTAAAATTTTTAAACTGTTTTTTGGGTATTCCCTCTATTACCTTGTTAGGTTAACGTTTTTGCAAGTGAAATACAAATATGAAAATGAAGACTTACCTTATATTAATCAGATGTACTAAACCATTTTCTAAGATTTTTTTTTATTCCCCACGCTTCCTTTTGTCACATGAAACCGTTGACTATTTGAAAAATTTAAACACAAAATAATATAATTATCACTTATATAAAATAAAAAACTAATTATATCACAATAAACTACACTAAATAACAAAACTTTTGATACATAACTTATAACTAAACTGTAAAATAAAACCATTAAAATTAATAAAAATAAGTTAACATGTTGTAAACGCGTGCCAACCGTAGCTCACCCGCGCCATCTTTTTTTTTCATTATTATTATTATTAGTCTATGACGCTACGGAAAAATCAAAATGGAAATCAATGAATTATTGAATCGTTTTTTTTTTTTTTTTTTTTTAATTGGGAGCAATTTAGAATATTGATAATGATAATGATAATAATTACGTTTTTTTTTTATTTAAAAAAAAAAAAATTTTTTCGAGGTGGAATTTCCTGGAGAAAAAAAAAGGAAAAAAATTGTGTCGACGAGAGAGTTTAAATTAATAATTAATTATTTCCATTGTTTTAATTAATTAAAAATAATTTTGTCAATTATCCCACGGGAAAATGAAAAAAAAAATTTTTTTTTAATCCTTCAGGATAAATCCCGGAATGAAGATAAAATTGTATCGTTTTACGGGATGAAAGTGAAAATGGGAAAAAAAACGTCGGACGAAGATGGAGAAAAAAAAAAAGAAAAAAAAAAAACTTTCGGATTCGTTTTTTTCTTTTTTCCTTTCTTCCTTCCATCCCTCCCTCTATCCCCACCCTCCCTTCTATCCTTTATTTCCTATCCAGGAGAGAAAAAAAAATATATATCCGACATTAAAAATTCCAAAGAAAATTTCCATTTGGAAAAAGTGAAAAAATTTTTTTTCCTTTTTTTTCTTTTTTTTTACGACAGAAACCGGCAGCAGGAGCAGCAGGTAAATTCATTCATTTAAAAAAAAAAAAATTTTTTTTCTCGTCCTTTGACAAATCAACCGGAAAATATCAAAGGAAAAAAACAAAAAAAAAAGGAAAAAAAGGAAAAACTTTTCTTCCTTTTTTTTTTTTAAATATGTTAAATATGATTTATTCGAAAATTTAAATTTTATTCTTTTTCAAAGGAAAAAAAATTACCTTTTTTTTATCTTTTCCTTTTTCTTTCCTTTGATTATCATTAATTAAATTTAAAATTTAAAAAAAAAGGCGGGAAAATACAATTTCTTTTTATTTATCATTTCGGTTAAATCAAATTTTATTAATTCAAGCATTTTTTTTATAGCGCCAAAAACAAAGAAAAAAAATCAATCAGCCAATCAAATCCCTTTTAAAAAAAATTAATAATAATAATAATAATAACGGTGACAACAATGATAATAATAATAAAAAATAACAACAACATCAATCAAAATTAATTGTTTTGATTACGATTAAATAAAAAAAAATAATAATAATAATATATTAATTCGCATACGAATAAGAGTAGCAAATTATAACAAAAGATTTTTTTTTTTTGTATCCTTAAGGGGTTTTTTTCTTTCGAAAGGATTCGATCGACAAAAAAAAAAAGGTTCGAAAAAAAAAAGGTTTTCTCAACCGCATTTAATACACGTCGTTAATTTGTTGTTGTTGTTTTTTATCATATTACGATTCATTTGTTCCCATATATATATACACACATAGATATTTTATTTGTTTTTTTTTTATTGATATTAATATAAGCAGATGTTTTTCGTGTGTTGTTACGTTTTACTCTCTCTTTCTATCTCTCTCTCTCTTTATTTTTTTTTATTAAATAAAAAATTTTTATAACGCGCTATAAAAAAAAAAAAAAAAAAAAAAAATTTAAGGAAAGAGGGAAGAAGAAACACCACCAAACGTTTAAATATTCATATATAAAGTTTATAAAAAAAAGTCAAATCAAATTTTTTTTTTTTTTTTAATTTCATTTTTTATGGCTAACCGTCGTTATTTATAAATATATTTTAAAACGTGTCATTAGATATTATTATTATTGATCGTTTTTATTATTATTATTGTTAATTTTTTTTTCTTTTTTTTATTATTATTTTTATTAATTTTTTTGTCGTTGTTATTGTTGTTAAGTGCCGGTTGGTTGTTAATAAATTTGAATTTTACGCGGGAAAAAAAAATTTTAATAACGTTTAAACAAACGTTTACTTATTTCCGGTTTTTTATACAAATAACGTTTTGACGATTTGGTGTAAATTTTTTGTTTTTATTTTTTAAATTACTGATAATGTTTTACGAAATCGATAATTGGAAAACAAGACAAAAGGAAAAGGAAAGGAAGGTTAGAAAACAATTAAGGTTGTAAAATGGAAATTGTCGGACAGGAAGGTAAGACAGGTAGGAAAAATATGGGAAGGCGGGTAACTTACTTGAAAGTTAAGCTAGATGGTGAGATGAGAAATAGGCGGAGAAGTAAGGAAGAAGGCAGACTGGGGTGTTGGCTGAGATTTGTACGGGGAAGTGAGGTAGAAGGTAGAGAAAAAGGTAGAGAGATATGGGAGGAGATAGGCTGGGAGGTTGACTGAATGTTAGACAGGAAGGTGAGGTTGAAGGTAGGCTGGGATTAAGGCAGAAAGGTAAGAGTGGAGGTAGACTAAGGTGTTGGCTGAGAGTTTTACGGGAGGTGAAATAAAAAGGTAGACAGGAAGGTGGGCTGGAAAGAAGGCAGAGAAAAAGGCAAAGAGGTAAGAGAAGAGATAGGCCGGAGAGCTGGGAAATAGGCAGAGAGGTAAGGGAAGAGGTAGATAGGGATGTTTGCTTAGAATTGTACAAGAAGTTAGTAAGAAAAACAGGCAAGGATGTAAGTAGGGATATGGTAACAAGTGTAAGAAGAAAAAAAAGGTCACCGCTCCCTAAAAAAAATAATAATCACGTTCCAAAAAAAAAGGGGGGCATGTATAATATAATAAAAAATTACCCGAAAATTAAAAAGTGATTCGAGAAAGAAAAAAAAAAAGATTTTCGAGGGTTAATAATGACACGGGTCAAATTGCCAGAAGAGATAAATACCACCTTTTACCCGAAACAAAAAAAAATTTATTAAAGTTATTAATTTAGTTTTTTTTTATTTAAAACTTTCGCGCCATTTTATTTATTATTATTATCATCCTACGGTTTAAATCGATTTTTAAGTACAACTTCTTTACCATTTTTTTTTTTTTTTAAATATTGTCGTACGATGTTAAAGTTAATAGTTTTTTAATTTCTTATTCGCCATCACGTTTTTCTCAAAAAGGATTTTTTTTTTTCAAATGAAGAGAAAGAGAAAGAGAGATAGAAAAAGAGAGAGAAAGAAAGAGAGAAAATTTTTTATTATTAAAAACCTTAAATAATTGTTAGATAATAATAAGTTTTTTTTTAAAAAAAAACCCGTTATATAAATTTTTTATTTAAAAAAAAAAAGGGTGAATATGAAAGATAATAAACGATACTACAAACATTTTTTAGTTGTTTGTAGTTAGTTTAGTTTTTAGTTTAGTTTTTTTGAATGAAAATTTAATTTATAATTTTTTATTCTTGTAAGAGTTGTTATTATAAAGTTATTGATGAAGTTAAATTTTATTTTGTCCGTTGTAATTTTTAACTACAATTTTTTTTTATAATTTAAATCACGTGAGAAAAAAGTAATAAATTTAATAACGGTAAGATTACAACAACCTTGTCGTCGACTACAAATTTTTATTTATAAAAAAAACAAAAACAAAAAGTTACGAAAAAAACTATAAAAAAAAGAAAAGAAAGAAAAGGTTCGATATTTTTGATTGGAGATCTCCGAATAAAAAACCACCCCAATAAAAAAAAAATATTAATAATTGGAATAATAATAATAATAATATTTTTCTTTTTTTTTCATCCCTTACATAAAAAAATAATAATAATGATAATAATAATTTTTTTATTTTTATTTTTAAACATTTAATAACCGCAATTAAAAATTTTTTATTTTTTTTATTTTTTATTGCGTATTCGAAACCTTTGAGGGTTCATTCGTTACAGATGAAAAGAAGAAAGGAAGGGAGGGGGAGGGGTAAACTTTTCGAAAAAAAAAAAAATTTTTGAGGTCAGAAATGAATGCGAAGGAAAAACCGGAAACGAAACGAAACGAAAAAAAAAGAAAAATTATTATTATTTTTATATAAAAGTTTTTTTTTCTCTCTCACTCTCTCTGTTTCTTTCCTTTCTAGAAAATTTTACGAAAGGGATAAGAGCGAGAGAGTGGATACGGAAGAAAATTGGGGAGGTGTGAGGTGGGATGGGTGGGGAGGGGGGTAAACAAAAGGCAAAAAAAAAATATTAAAAAATCCGCAAAAAAAAAAAAATTTTTTTTTTTCCTAACCGTTTTTATTTATTTATTTATTTTTTTTAACCGCAATCGTTTTTTTTTTTTTTTTAAATTTTATTAAAAAGTGAATAAATATTATTATTATTATTATTATTATGAAAATAAAATAAAATAAAAAAAATTTTTTTCTTCTCCTAGGGTTTTTTTTTTTCTTTTTTTTTTCTTTCGTTTGATATATTCCCAAAGCACTACTAAATCTCGAAAAGATAAAAATAAAAAAAAAAAAAATTCATCGCGAATAAAAGAATTGAAGGGGAGTGAAAAAAAAGAAGTGGGGGGGGAAGGAAGAGGGGAAGAAGGAGATGAAGAAAAAGAAGAAAATGGGGAAAAAAAGATGGGGGTTAGAATAAAAAAAAAAAAAACGAGAATGGGGAGTCAAAAAAAAAAAATATCTGAATATTAATCTGATGAAAAAAAATATAAAAAAATAAAAGAAAATTGTAAAAAAAAAAAAAAAAAAATGGAAAAACTAAACGAATGGATTCAACGTCAGAAAATTCCCTTGCGGGATCCCCGTTAAAAAAAAAAAAAAAAAAAAGCTGTCGATATTTTTTTTTTCGATTTGTTTTTGGAAGAAAAAAAAAAAAAATTCCGTTTGATCTTCTTGCTTTTAAGCTGTTGAATTTTTTTTTTTTTTAGTTCTAAAAGCTTTTATTAATTACTTAACTTTTTTTTTCTTTCCTTTTTTTCAAAGGAAAGAACGAACGAAAAAAAAAAAACCTTTTAAATGGAAAACGTAGGTTATAGTTTTTGAAATTGATAGATTACCATTGTTGGTTGGTCCCCCACAAAAAAAAAAAATTAATTTTTAACAACAAAAAAAAAAAAAAAAAGAAAAAAATTTATCTTAAAATTGTAATAAAAGTCTTAAATCTACCTCTCTCTCTTTCTATCTTTCACTTTTTATTTATTTTTTCTCTCTCTTTCTCTTTCTCTTTTTCATTCTATCCTGAAATCCCTAAAATTAGGTTTTTTAATATATTTTAAGCCTCTTCATTATCCCCCCATTCATCAAGTTTCTCCCCCTCATTCCTTTCTCCTCTCTCTCTTTTTTTCCGTTTTGCCCCCTCCTTCTTTCTTTATCCCCCTCCTCCCCCTCGCACACACAAAAAAATAATTTTCCCCCTCAGACAAAATTTTTCCTTTTTTTTGGGTTACTTTATTTATTTATTTATTCAGGTGCGAATGAAATTAAATTTTTTTTGTTATTATTATTATTATTATTATTGCTGGAATTATAAAAGCGAAGGTGAAAAAGGGGAAGCAGAAGAAAAAGAAGAAGAAGAAAATATTAAATATGGCTGACAAGTGATAAAGCAGACGACGACAAATGCGAGAACGAAGTAAAAAAATATCGTCGTCAACGTCTAATAAATTTTTTTTTTTT